CGCACTCCGGTCCCCGCGATCCTCCCGGCCCCTAGTCCCGTGCCTGCACCAGGCTTGAGTCACCGGTAAACTTAGCTGTGAGTCAGGGTCGGAGGGTTAGCACCGGCTCAGCTCCGGGCCATGGCTTGCCTGGTGGTGGGACCCTGCGGGAGCGTGCCCGAAAGAGGACCGGACTGAAGCCGGGACGGAGAGGGAGTCCCCGCGGTCAGGGACCCCGTAGAAGTAAACAGGTAGCGAACCCTGCAGGATCAAGATCGGATAGAGGTGGCCAGAGCCCCCGTACCTCTGAAAACCGAGTTAGAACTGGAGACTAAAGCAAGGGTCAGGCTTACCTATGGAGAGCTAGACAGAGGGGGCCTGAGAGGGGCACAGAAATGGGTCCAGAAGCAGAGACGGAGTGGCATAGAAATAAAACTTACGGCCAACAGAGTCGCAGAGCGAACCACGGAAGGCCGATGAGGCTGGCAGGATGGGCCATCGCCCCAGGAAGCTGAGCCTCTTGTGAGCAGAAGGTGAATTCGTGGGGACAGGGCAGCAGGGACAAAGTAGAGGTGGTGGGCGGCCTTTCACTGGGTGTACGTGCTGCTACGGTGCGAGAGCAGAGAAGAACCCGTCCCTGGGCCCCCAAAACATCTGTCTGGCCAGGTTCTCTCCCCATCCCTCCCCGATACCAGATCCCACACACTAAGACTGTTTAGGGCCTCCTGGTCAGCAGGAGTAGAGCTGGCAGGATGTGGGGGCGGCCAGGGCTGGAGGGACAGGAAGGAAATCTAAGCAGAGACAATAGGTGGAAGTGGAGGAGGAAGTGGGAACAGCAGGATTGGGATAGACAAGCTTGCACCACAGCTCAGAAGCCAGTGGGAGTGGGTCCCGGTCTGTACCCCCTTCTTCCTACCTAGCTTCTCCATAACAGGCACATCTGATTAGGACGCCTCGGTGGCCCTCTTTTCCCACAAACCCACCCGCTTGTTCTCTCTCTCTCTCACGTTCTAGCATCACATCCTACACTTAATTCAGTTGACTATGTAGTAACACAGGGGAGTGGCTATGACCAGGGTGGGGCAGGAACCTGGGGGCCAAGACTGCTGCCAACTGCCTATGAGCCTGGGATTCTTCTCACTCACTCACTGTGGTCGCATCTGTACCAACTCAGTCACAACCCTGTGACTGTAATGCTTTACGGGAGTCGAAAGTCCTTCTCTCTCAGTGCAGCTGGTGGTTCGGAATTGTGGATCTTGCAGATCCCAACCCAACGCATAATCACCACACCACCAGGGCTTTGGGACTCTCCTATGAGAACATATTCTCGTGCCCTGATGCAGCTCTGCTTCTAGAGCTAGACCTATGGGCATTTTTTATTAGAGAAAGATCGGGGTCTACAACCCCCAGTGTAGGCCTCAGACTAGGGGACAGATAGGGAGAAATCTCAGCCTGAGCCCTCCCTTCACCCTACCCCTTCCCCCAGCAATGGCCTGAGCCCCCATGGCTGCCCCTCAGGACCTGGACATCACTGTGTGGCTGGCCACAGTGCACCTGGAGCAGTATGCAGACACGTTCCGACAGCATGGCCTGGCAACAGCGGGTGCAGCCCGGGGCCTGGGCCACGAGGAGCTGAGGCAGTTGGGCATCAGCGCTACAGGGCACCGGAAACGCATTCTCCGTCTGCTGCGGGCAGGCGCTGCAGAGGGCTCCGCGGATCCCCAATCAGACAGTGTCATGGAGTCATCTTCCGGTCCAGACCCCCCAGCCCAGGCTCCCAAGCCTGTGCCCAAACCCAGGACAGTGTTTGGTGGGCTCAGTGGCCCTACCATCTCCCAGAGGCCTGGGACAAGCCAAGCTCTTCAAGGATCAGAAGTTTCCGAGAGCCTGGAAGCCAGCCAGAGATCCCCACCTCTCCCCACCTCCTCCTCCTCTGAGCAGCCTTCAGCCTTGAATACTCTGAAGATGATGCCCAATGCCCTCTACTTCGGTCTGGACTTGAGAGGAAGGTCACAGGCAGTGCAGGACATGTGAGTGGGGTTGGCATCCTGCTTGGGATGGGGAGGAGACAGGAGGAACAGGGTGTGAGGGCTCATCCTCCCCTCCTTAATAACCAAGAAGACTTTCCCCCTCAGAGCCCCAGACAGCACCCAGAAAGCTGCTCCCACGCCTGCTCTCAGGCCAACAGGCACAGGTAAGTAGGTTATCGTGGTTGAGGAAGAAGGACAGTACCCTTGGGGATCTCCTACCTGACTCCACTTCCTTCTCTCTCCCGCTCTCTTCCCTCCCTAGTGCACATCATGGACCCAGGTTGCCTGTACTATGGTGTCCAGCCTGCAGGGACCCCAGGGACCCCCGACAGAAGAGAGGGCAGAGGTGTCTGTCAGGACAGGGTGGACCACAGGTACGTGTTCCACCTGTGGATTTTGATGGGAGCGAGAAAGGGAAGCTTGTGGAGTTGAGCTGGCATTGGTCATGTATCCGGTTAGTTACCAAATGTGCACAATGTGCCCACGGAAGATACAGGAGGAATAAACAGTCATTGCTGTGCCCTTGAATGGCCTGTGATTCAGCGGGGGCAGAGAGGAAATAAAACAAGCTAACAAATAAAACAAACTAACAATCATTAACACCGGGGAGAAGGGCTCTTCATTTTTTCATCCAACAAACACACGTATTTTTTTTCACTTTTTAAAGTAGTCTTTAATATTTCTATTACACATTTCAGCCTCCCAGTAGTAACCTGTGTTAAAAAGTCGATAGGTCATGTATTTGCTTTTATAAAAGTGGGATCAAATATTTTATTATTTTACATTTACTTTTCAAGGATAATTATTTTCAGTAGCACAAATGTGTCATAGCTGTCTTTTTTTTCTTAAACATTTTATTGAGGGCTCAAATACATGTATTTATTGAGTCCATATTGCATGCCAGACATTGTTGTCGATGCCTACCACATATCAGTGAATAAAACAGGCAGAAATCCCTGCCATGTGGGGAGAGTCATCAATGAACAAGAAACAATAAGCAAGTGACATAGTATGTAACATAACATAACATGCAGAGTATGTTCAAAGGTGCCACAGGCTAATTGGAGCAGGACAAGGGGGCTGCAGTTGTTCATTAGCTTGTGAGAGCATCATGGGATGACCCGAAGCAAACACTTGAAGTAGGTGTGGGAGTTCATCACCAAGCTGTCTGGGGAGACTGTCCCAAGCAGGGGGAATGGGCAGGACTGAGACATGTGTAGTGTGTGTGCGTGTGTGTGTGTGTGTGTGTGTATGCGCGCACAGGGGCTCCAGGATCAGCGAGGAGGCCAGTGAGGCTCGGCAGAGTTGGGAAGAAGGTCTTAGGAGATGACAGTGTCGAAGAGTTCTTGGGGCCAGATCTGGTGGGAGCTGGTAGAGATTTGCCTTGACTTGTGACTCACATATTAGAAGCACTCCTCCTGTCGCTTGCTGGGAATCGCTTGTTGGGGCAAAAGCTGTAGCAGAGAAACCGCACCACACTCCGGTCCCGCGAACCTCCTTTACATTTACTTTTCAAGGTAGGAGGTAAGAGACACAAGTGAGAGAGCTCCGTTTGGAGTGATAGAAGTGCAGGTGGTGAGAAGTGGTTGGGTTTGGGTTCGAGTTTGAAGGTAAACTGTTGAACTGAATAGGGGGTGGTAAGAAAAAAAAGAGCAGTCAAGAACGGGCTCGGGACTTTGGTCACAGCCTGTGCTGTGCAGTATGGCGGCCATTGGCCACACAGAACTACCGAACACTTGAAATGTGGCCTGTCTGCGCTGAGATGTGCTCTAAGTGTAAAATAGATGCCAGATTTCAAAGACTTCATAAGAAACCGTGTAAACTTCCTTAACTTTTATTTTGATTCTATACAAAAATGTCAGTGTTTGGGATATATATATCATTGGGCTAAATAAAATATAAAAATTGACTCCATCTGTTTTTTTGGGTTTTGCTTGTTTGTTTTGCTAAATGTGGCTCCTAGAACATTTAGAGTTACATGTGTGGTTGGCATTGACTTCTGTGGGGCGTCTCTGGGCTAAGCCACTCAGAGATCACAGAGTTACCTTAGTGTGAGATGGGGCAGACTGCAGTAGCAGTAGGTCAGGAGTTTGGTTTGGGACATGGTGACTTTGAGGTATATGTTACACATCCCAGGAGAGATGGCCAATAGGCTATAGGATATGTGAATTTGGAGTTTGGGTGAGAGGTTGAAACTGGAAGTGTCATTTCATGAGTCATCAGTATATACTCTTTTGCCATTGAATCAATTCTGACTCATAGTGACCCTCTACAGCTTTCCTGAGACTAAATCTTTACGGAAGCAGGTAGCCTCAACTTCTTCCTGTGGAGTGGCTGGTGGGCTTGAACTGCTGATCTGGCAGTGAATCATCTAATGCTTATACCACAGTGCCATCAGGGATCTTTGTTAGCAAATTAAAGTAAAACAATTCATTGCCATTGGTTCGAAGAGGAGAGATGTGGAACCATGCTTGGGGACAGGTGAGGCTGGGTAGGCCTGGGAGGAGTGTGCCTGGTCTCGGGAGGAAGGCAGAGTGTGTGGTGCAAGGGCTAGAAGTGGTGCTGGTGTCCGGGGCTCTCGGAGGGCTTCTGCGAAGCAGGAATGGTGATTGCTTGTGAAACAGGAGACCAATAGGGTCGAGTAGTGGTTCTCAACCTTTGCTGCACCGCAGCCTGAGTCACTTCGAAAAATACGGGTGCCTAGATCCCGATCCTAGAATTTCAAATGTAAGTGGTTTTAAGATAGGGCCCAAGAACCAGTATGGTATTTTTAAGTTTCCACCCAGGTGACTTTGTGCTGCCAAGGTTGAGACCCACTGGAAAGGATGGGAAATAACCAGTTGGGCTGCTAACCGTAAGGTCAGCAGTTTGAAATCACCAGCTACTCAAAGGCGGGAGAAAGATGGGGCTTTCTATTCCCATAAAGAGTTAGTCTCAGAAACTCCCAGGGGTGCTTCTACAGGGTGGCTGTGAGTCAGAACCGACTCCATGGCAAGAGCTGTGGCTTTTACTCAGGGCACGTGAGGTTGATTCGCCCCGTGAATGAAGTCTTCCAGTAACTTAGGATAAAGCCAGACTCCTTACCACAAACTACAAGGCCATGAGCAATGAGACCCACGGCCATATCCCTGGCCTCCCTGAGGGCCGCCTTTGTCCTATGGGCCGGAATCAACTCGATGGCAGTGAGCTTTGTTCTCTTTTGTTGTTGCTGTTACTGGGGGTGGTTAGTAAAGGTCCTTCTGAGAAGCCAGCATGAGTTAACAACCTGAGGGACAAGGAAAACAAGCAGCCGGGGAAGCATTTTCTAGGCAGAGGGAACAGCTTATGAGCACAGGAAAGAGAATGTGGCCGTGCTAAATAGTAAGCAAGGGTGAGGGTGGCACCCAGTGAGGTCAGAGACGTGACAGCCCTTGCATTGTGCATGACATTGTCCTCTGTGATGAGGATTGGCCTTGGTCTTCAGTGCATTTAGCCTGATCCCAACTTCTTGGACATCTTCCTGCAGGGAGGAAGGAACTTCATTTGCATTTTAAAAGAGCATTCTGGTGGCTGTGGGGGCAGAGAGGGCAACAGAGACAGCAGGGACCAGTTAGGCACCATCCTCACGACACTTGCCATGAGCCATGAGCCATGTGCAAGCCAACGGGGACGCGGTCCAGAGAGAGAAGGGCAAGAAATCTGTGTAGAAGGACCAATAAGACTTGATTATAGGGACAACTGGATCGATAGATTCAAACAGGAAGTGGAGGACAAGGAAGAAGGGATGGGCTGGGATCGGTTGTCGGGATGACTGCCCGATTCCCATGAATGTGCCTGGACTGTGGCTATGTATGCGATGTGAATCGTATGCCAGTGACATGGTTAAAAAATAAACAAACTAATTAAAAGAAGAAAAAAAAAAAGACCTCTTGATTAGAAATGGGCAATCGTGGCAGATAAATACCCGCTCACACAGCCCTCCCTGACCTTTCCACCCAGGACACAAATGGCAGAGGGGCAGGAGCTGAAATGTTCCTAAAAGAATTTCTAACAGTCTCTGGGGGAAACTTCATGCGAATCATTTGAAAAGCATTTCCAGTACCTGCCATGCATTCTACTAGGTTCTATGGGTGAAGTGTGGAGAAGTTTCCAGGGTGCTAGGAGTGGTCTCATCTCTCTCTCTCTCTCTCTCTCTCTCTCTCTCTCTCTCTCTCTCTCTCCCCTCCCCCCATGCCTCTACCCCCACGCCTCTTTCCCCTCCCACAAGGCTCAGCAGACAGGATCTGGAGGCCCGGGAGGATGCTGGCTATGCCAGCCTTGAGCTTCCCGGGGACTCCACCCTATCAGTTCCCACCCTGGACATTGAGGAGACCAGCGATGACCTCATTTCACCCTATGCCAGCTTCTCGTCCACCACAGACCCTCCTATGCCCCTGCTCAGTGGCTGGCTGGACAAGCTCTCCCCTCAGGGGTGGGGCTTCTGGGAAAGGAAGGGGGGAGATCCCAGAAGGCTGGGTGGCAGGGGTGAGGGCATTGGATCCCAAAGTGCTCCCAGACCCTACGAATCCCCCCAACCCAGTGCAGTCCCCAACCCTCCCTGATCTTGGTCCTTCCATTTTTTCAGAAACTACGTCTTCCAGAGACGCTTTGTGCAGTTCAATGGGAGGAGTCTGATGTACTTTGGCAGTGACAAGGTGGGGTCAGGGAGGTGGCTCCTGGACACTGGGGAGAGGGAGAGGAAGTGTTGAGAGGCTCAGGATGGGCAGCAGGGAAGCCGGGGTGGGGTGTGCTGCCTGTGACTGGTGTCAGCCTTTAAAGCAGCGCGAGGTAAGCTGGCTGTCCCCACTGCGTCGGCATTGCGTCTTCAACTCCCGGAAGTTGGTGCTGGACACCGGTGGGTACATGTGGCTCAGTTCTTCTCCCCATGGGTCTTTGGGCTCTCGCTCCAGGACCCTTTCCCTAAGGGCGTGATCCCCTTGACTGCCATTGAGATGATCCGCAGCAACAAGGACAACAAGTTTCAGGTCGTCACCGGCCAGAGGGTGTTTGTGTTCCGGACTGAGAGTGAAGGTGAGGGTCTGGGCCCACTGAGTCAGGGAGGGAGGGAGGGGTGGAGCGCACCGCCCACTGACCAGCCCCGCCCCCCACCAGCTCAGCGGGACACCTGGTACTCCACACTGCAATCCTGCCTGAAGGAACAGCGCCTCCTGGGCCACCCTCGGCCCCCTCAGCCGCACAGGCCCCTCCGCACAGGCATGCTGGAGTTGCGTGGACACAAGGCCAAGGTGCTGGCGGCCTTGAGCCCAGGAGAGCTGGCGCTGTACAAGAGTGAGCAGGTGAGGAGGGCAGGGCCAGGGCCAAGGGGCACGGCCTGGCCTATCCTGGCCTCTCACGGTGCCTGCCCCAGCAGGCCTTCTCGCTGGGCATCGGGATCTGCTTCATCGAGTTGCAGGGCTGCAGTGTCCGGGAGACCAAGAGTCGCAGCTTCGACCTGCTCACGCCCCATCGCTGCTTCAGGTGGGGCCCAGACTGGCCAGAGGCATGGCTGGGAGCGAGGCTTGGGTGGGGGTGTCAGTGGGTGTGTGCACTGGAGGGCGGGCAGGAGGGTCTGAGTCAGCCAAGATGGGCCCGTGATGGCTCTGCAGGACGGGGCAGGTGAGAGGGGGCCCATGCCCACGGACTGGCTGTCCACCCCTCAGCTTCACAGCCGAGTCTGGGGGGGTTCGGCAGAGCTGGGCGGCCGCTCTGCAGGAAGCAGTAACCGAGACCCTGTCTGACTACGAGGTGGCTGAGAAGATTTGGTCTAACCGAGCGAATCGGCGCTGTGCAGACTGCGGGGCTTCCCAGCCGGACTGGGCCGCCGTCAACCTGGGGGTTGTCATCTGCAAGCAGTGTGCAGGTGAGGCCTGTGGTCTGGAGCGGAAGTGGGCATGGGAGCGGGACTGAGCATGTGCAGAGCTCAGGGTACCCATGCCATGCGCCCCTTCCACCTGACAGGTCAGCACCGAGCCCTGGGCTCTGGGATTTCCAAGGTGCAGAGCCTGAAGCTGGACACGAGCGTCTGGAGTAATGAGATCGTGCAGGTGAGGAGGGGGAGGGGGAGGGGGAGGGGGCATCCAGAAAAGGCCGAGGCCCAGGCTACTGTGGGAAGCAGAGGGAGGGGGAGTGGCTGGAGGTGGAGACTCTTGAGTCCCATCTTTGCCTCATCATCCTGCAGTTATTCATCGTCCTGGGCAACAGTCGGGCCAACCGCTTTTGGGCAGGGGCATTACCCCCAGGGGAGGGGCTGCATCCAGATGCATCCCCTGGCCCCCGAGGAGAGTTCATTTCCCGAAAATACCGGTTGGGCCTCTTCCGGAAGCCCCATCCAAAGTATCCAGATCACAGCCAGTTTCTGCAGGTAGGAGGCACAGGTTTGGGCTGAGGGAGAGGTGCCTGGGATGCCCAGCCACGGGTGGTGGAGCTGGTATGGTGGTTGGAAGCCAGGGCTCTCAGGTGGGACTGGAGGCTGACAGAGGCCCTTTCCTCCCGAAAGGCTCTGTGTGCAGCTGTGGCCGGACCCAACCTCTTAAAGAACATGGCCCAACTCCTCTGTGTGGAGGCCTTCGATGGTGAAGAAGAGCCCTGGTCCCCCTCAGCTCTGGATGGCAGCTTCCCTGGCCTCTTGTCCCCAGGTAATCCCCCCAAGTGCCTCTTCTCTCCCCCCCAGCAATTCTCAGCCCTGACTGTGTGCCTTGGTTCTTGAGTGCAGGCAGTTTCCTCATCATCCAGCCCATCCCAAGGGCTTTCCAACCCCTCAGAGCCCTGCCCCTATTTCCCGACGGCATGAGATCACAGGGGATGGCCAATGCCTGCAGTTGGCCTCTTGTTCCCAGGGCTCATGCTGACCACACCGGGCGTGTCCAGTCAGGTCAGCTCACAGCTCTCAAAGAAATGCTTAGCTGAATGCTGCTGGTCTGCAGGGGTTAGAGGGGCCGGGGCACTGGTGGGATGGTCCCTGAGCTGAGGCCACCTTTCAGAGCAGACAGCCTTGGTTGGCTGGCTGGTGGGCAGAGGCTGTGGCAAAGGCTGTGCTGGAGGTCTCCCTGTCCCAACACCTCCTGCTTCCCTCTTTTCCAGTCTGGGTAAGAAGGGGTCCAGCTCCCCGGCCTGGCTTGTCCATGCTGCCACGGGTTTGGGTTCTAAGGGCTTCCTCCATCCAGTCTCTTCTCCAAGGAGACCCAGGCTCCCTTTGCACTGGCCTCCCCTGACCCTCCTTTCCTTCTTCCCTGTAGATCCCTGCCCTGGTGTGTACAACGAGGTGGTAGTGCCTGCCACCTACAGCAGCTTCCTGTACTGTGGTCCCATCAGCAACAAAGCTGGGCCCCCACCCCCTCGCAGGGGCCGAGATGGTGAGGGCAGTTGGGGCATGGGAGGAGACAGGGCTGGGTGTCAGTTCACTGCTCAGGACAGGCCTGAGTAGGGAAGATGAGACCATGACCTGGAGTGGGCTCGGGGGCCAGGCGGCTGGGGAACGGGCCATGCCAGGTTAAGAGCCTGTGCCTTGAAGTCATCCTGGTCCAAATTCCAGCACTGCTATTTCCTACCTACGTGCCAGGCTAGCTGCTCAAACTCAGATCAGCTTCCAGCCTATCCCTCTGCAAGACACAGCTGATACTAGTGCCCACCTGTCGGGCTGGGAGCACTACGGAGTAGCCTTCCCAGGCAGAGGGCTTGGCATGGAATAAATACCTGATCAATGGGAGCTGACGCTCTGATGGTACAGCCGTTAAACGCTCAGCGGCTAACCGAAAGGTCGGCAGTTTGAAGGCACCCAGCAGCTCTACGGGAGAAAGACCTGGTCAGATGAGCTTCTTAAAGATCCCGGGCTAGACCACCCCACGGGGCAGTGCTTCTCAGGCACGCGGGACTGCTGGGAGTCTTCTCAACAGCAAGTGGGAAGTCAGAAGACCGATGTCCCCAATCATCTGTGGCCCCTGCAGCTCCCCCGAGGCTGTGGTGCGTGCTGGGAGCGGCCCTGGAAATGTTTGTGTCAGAAAGCAGCCCGGAGCCCCTCAGCCTCATCCAGCCCCAGGATGTCATCTGTCTGGGCGTGAGCCCCCCACCCACTGACCCAAGTAACCTTGACAGGTACCAACCCCTCCCTGAGTCCCTCCTTGTTCTTCCCCAGTCGAGAGCCGGACAACCAGGTGGGCTTTTTCCTCCCCAACCTCACCCTTCTCTTAGGTTCCCCTTCTCCTTTGAGCTCATCCTTACCGGGGGAAGGATCCAACATTTTGGGACGGATGGAGCTGACAGTCTAGAGGCCTGGACCAGTGCCATGGGCAAGGTGAGACCTTTCCCCCACCACGCCTGGTTTCTCCGCCCCATCTACCTGCCCCCACTCTGTCTTCTCTTCTTCTCGCGGTCCCCTCCCACCACTTCCACTCAAGGCTAAGGCCGAGTGCGTATTCGGCGTCAGGCACTATCCACTCAGTATCTCTGTTCATGGTAATTTTACACACCAGGAAACTGAGGCTCAGAGATTATAAACCAACTTTGCGAAGGTCACAAAGACTGAAAACCAGGCCTCTGTCTCGGGCCCCCAACACCCTGGTACCATGACCTCGGCCTCCAGCTGCCCCATCCCAGTGCTTCAGTGGGCCCAGCGTCACAGCCGCCTTCCTATGCCTCTCCCTCTCCACACCTTCTTTCTGGAATGAAAAGTTCACGCCCTGGGGTCAGACACCCTTGATGAGGGTCTGAGCCTTGTGAACCTCTTCACTCATGCCTGTGTAAAAAGCCACCCCTTAAGGTGGAGAATTGCATGAGACATGAGGCCCACAGAGCATGGCGTGAAGCCAGCCCTCTATGGGGGATTGGATGATGAGGGGGTGGTGGTGGAGATGGTCGCTCCCAAGCTGAAACCGCTTTTTCTCAGCCCTGCTCTGCCTTCACCTGGTCACCCTGACACCTTCCTCCCGCCTGACAAGTTTTCAGAAAGTGGTGTCCTCAGGCAGCCTGCAGTTCCTCCTTGACCTTCTGCAGCTGCTTTCTTCTGCCCCTTCTCTACCTCGCGGCTGCCCTGCAGCTCACCAGTGACTTCCTGTTCCTAAACTGTGGTTGCCCAGGGCCTTTCTCTGACCTCACCAGGCTGTCTCTGCAGCGTTGGACCCCTCTTGTAGGAAATGCACCCCCAGCCCCACCTCCTCCTTCCCCTTCTCCTACCATGCCTCCTGCCAAGACGTTGCCTCCTGTCCCCTTGCAGGGCTCTACGGTGGCCCTCGCCGAAGTCTCATCTTATTTACATCTATGCTTTTCAAAAATCTAGCCCATCCTTTAAGGCCATGCTACTCCAGGTGTGGTCTGAAGGCTGTTACACAAGGCTGGGCCGTGGACTATTGGTTTGGGTCAGTGATGAGCTAAGTACAGAAATTGAGAGTGAGCATTTCACGTCGTTTATAGCCATCTGAGGAGTCCTGGTTGCATAGTGGTTAACGGGTTTGCCTGTTAACCCAAAGGTCAGCAGTTTGAACCCATCCTGCGGCTGTCGGCTTCTGTAAGAATGTACAGCCTTGCTCATGAAGGAGGGGGGAGGGAGGGGAAAAAATGAGGACCTGATGCCGGGGGCTTAAGTGGAGAGCAAATGTTTTGAGAATGACGATGGCAATGAATGTACAAATGTGCTTTACACAATTGATGTATGTATGGATTATTGTGATAAGAGTCGTATGAGCCCCTAATAAAACGATTAAAAAAAAGAAAGTATAGCCTTGGAGACCCTGCATCGAAGCTTGGCTCTGTCCTGTAAGGTCACTGTGAGTCAGAATCAACTTGATAGCTGCATGTTTGGGTTTGGTGTTTGTTTATAGCAATTTGACAAAGTAATATTTTTGGGGTGTTTTTAAATAATTTTATTTGGGGCTCATACAACTCTTATCACAATCCATACATCCATCCATCGTGTCAAGCATATTTGTACATTTGTTGCCATCATCATTCTCAAAATATTTTCTTTCTACTTGAGCCCTTGTATCAGCTCCTTATTTTTCACCCTACCTCCTCACCACCCCTCCCTCATGAACCCTTGATCATTTATAAATTATTATGATTTTGTCATGTCTTACACTGTCCTATGTCTCCCTTCACCCACTTTTCTGTTGTCCATCCCCCAGGAAGGGGGCTATATATAGATCTTTGTGATCAGTTCCCCCTTTCTACCCCACCTTCCCCTTATCCTCCTGGTATTGCTACTCCCATTATTGGTCCTGAGGGGTTTATCTGTCCTGGATTCCCTGTGTTTCCAGTTCCTATCTGTACCAGTGTATATCATCTGGTCTAGCCGGATTTGTAAGGTAGAACTGGGATCATGGTAGTGGGGGGGCGGGGTAGTGGTGGCAGGAAGCATTAGAGAACTAGAGGAAAGTTGTATGTTTCATTGTTGCTATATGGCGCCCTGACTGACTCGTTGCCTCCCCTAGACCCTTCTGTAAGGGAATGTCCAGTTGCCTACAGATGGGCTTTGCGTCCCCACTCTGCACTCCCCCTTATTCACACTATGTTGGGTTTTTTTTACAAAATAATTTTTGCATTGAATCTAATAATAAAAATTGGGGGCTTGTGTTTTGTATGCCTATGTTTTTTCATTCTCCTTGGCCAGTAATTCATTTTTATAATTTCTTAAAAGAAAATATGGACCAGTGACAGATCAGAATGAAAGGGAGGGGGGAAGGAAGGGCGAGAAAGAAGGGGAAAAAAACCATTTGAGTCTACATCACTTCCCTTTGAGAAGCACTGCTTTCAGGCCCCCCTCAAGCACCCCCTCCTCCATGAAGCCTCTCACCAGCCCCTTGGGTGGAGGCCCTTCCTGGGCCATCAAGACTTCCAAGACAGACAGCATCATGGCTGCCCATTAGTTCTTCCTTACCCTCACCCCCCAGCTGCGTGCACCAGGCTGCCACATTGCAGCAGACAGAACAGAATTGGACCCATATCCATTTCCGTTTCCTTATATCTCTCCTTGGCTCCCTCCCCATCACTTTTCACTCCTTTCTTCTGTTTTCCCTCCGTGCCTTTGACTGTCTTTCCGACCTCTCACTCACATCTCTCCCCGCACCCTTTGTCTCTTCCCCCACCCTCTTCGCTGCCTATGTCTCCCCCACAGTGGTTCTCCCCTCTGAGCTGTCACCAGCTGCTGGGCCCTGGGCTGCTGCGACTGGGCCGGCTGTGGCTGCGGTCCCCCTCCCACACGGCCCTGGCCTCTGGCCTCTGGCTGTCAGGATTCGGCCTCCTTCGTGGTGACCACCTCTTCCTGTGTCCAGCACCGGGGCCAGGACCCCCAGCTCCCGAGGACATGGTGCATCTGCGGCGGCTACAGGAAATCAGTGAGCATGGGCAGGACCGGGATGAAGGGTGGCCACAGCAGAGATGGGGAGGACCTTCTTCTCTTTGGGGATCCCCATAGAAATGAGCGCACCACTTTTCTTTCAGATGGTCATGCTCTGGTGGCTTACATGTTGCTGTGATACTGGAAGCTATACAACCAGTAGTTCAGACACCAGCAGGGTCACACAAGGTGAAAGGGTTTCCACAGAGCTTTCAGACTGAGAGCAAACTGATTAGCCACTGGCCATCCTAGGAATTGCACCGAACCTTATCTGCTGTAGGGCCATAAGATGAGCTCCTTGGTCAGAAGGCACTCCAAATAGGACTGGGGGAAGAGCTGCCTCCTCAGTAGGGTCGTCCTTGATGCCATAGATGAATAGAATAATGCTTCGGGGACCTTCATCTGCTGATAGGACACGACTCAAAATGAGAAGAAACAGCTGCATGTATCCATTAATAACTGGAACATCGAGTGTACGAAGTATG